TGCTCTTCACAGACCCGATGGGAATGGGTTTGAGGAGAAGGTGGGGGGGAGGACTGGGGAGGCTCACGGCATGGTGATGGGGGCTCTGGAGACTCTGGGTGAAGCAGAGGCAGAAGGGTGCTACGATAGTGCCAGCTGGAGTAGTTGGAAAAGTTGGAGCCAATAAGACGATCAGTAAACGCCAACTCCTGATCTACAGGCACGCCAGACATCTTTACAACCATTCGGCGGTAATCCCAGCAATGGACTGGGCAAGACAGAAACACAGAACATGCCAGAACATGAGTAAAAATAATGTAGCGAAGGACAAGGTTTAGATCGAATACTTTTTAAAAAAATGCATTATTACACATTTTTAACATTCAGCTCCTTTTTATTTTTTTCTCCCACTCACAGTTGCGGTCATCCAGGCTCAAGCAGCGATCACACAATGTCAGCTCCCTGGCCCAGTCCGGTCGAGGCAAACGGGCGGAGACCCAACCTCGGTGGTGCCAGCTGCCATAAGATTTTGGGTTCACTTTCAGGCAAGACTCAGTAAACAACAGCTCAGCCTCGTAAATCTTCTGCACTTCATCTTTGTCTCTGCAGAGGATATTGGGAAACAAAATCGTCATTCTCCTGTGACACCGCAAATGACTTACCATTCAGTAAAAAGGGGTTCAACTATGAATCTGTGAGTACTAACTTCACAGTCTCCAGGTGCATTAGGATTTCTCTTCTGTAGTTCCACAGGGTTGCAAAGTCAGGATTGGATGATAGGAGCTGCTGGGTGAGCTGAAGAGCCTCATCATCCCAGATACCCTCATTTCTCTGTCAAACAGGAGAAAGTGAGGAGGGTGAGGAAAACACATGGAGTGAAAAGCAGGCTGTCATGTCCATTAGTTAACTATTTACAACTGTTAAATGATGACTACATTAGAAGACAGATGAAAAGGGATAAAAGGGGGCTGATATCCAAATGTGGACAAAACTGAATTGTTTTTTCCTTGTTCTGACCAACCACCTATGGAAGGTATGGAACTCACATTTCTGTCAATGTAAAGAAGTAACTTCACATTTAGTTCATAAGATATAAATAAAAAGAAGCAGAATTTTAACAAAATGTTTCAATTTTTTTCCCGATTTTTGTACATGATTTTAAAAAAAATTGCAGTTCTTTACAGAAAATTCTCTTTTTTAAAAGACCCATTGTAAAAAAATAAAAAATAAAGGTGAAAAACCTTTCTGTCATTTAATTGTTTAATTATTACTTAATGTTGGTGTAATCAAGTGGAGTACATTGGAGTCTTTGCTGGACTGATTCTGGCCCCCAGGTCTTATGTTTGACACCCTTACACTAACCCAAAGACATGTTGCAGTATTGCTATTAAAACATAAGGCACAATATAATATTCCACCTTAGAAAAACAGGCATCACGTGCTGCCACGTATATCTTGAGCTTCTTCTCCCTCTCCTTTCTTTTCTCCTCCTCCTGCTGGGCTGTAGTTTTAATTTTCACTCTGCCATGCTGTCAAAAGCAAAAAGAGAAGGATATACCAGCAGAGTACAGTTTATTCAGCTGACTGGATGTGTAAATAATTGATCTACTGTAATTCCACATGCACTGGAAATGCCTAGATTTGAACAAGTATAGTACATGGTTCATCTCTTACCATCGTTGCTGTTAGTGAAGGAGGCTTCTTTAAGAATCTGTTTATGAGGGGTGACAGTCATGTTTAGGCCAGAGTAATGTTCACATGACATACAGAAGCAAAGTGCTGACAGACTGACACAGAAGTTTTAACAAGTTACCGTAAAGAACTCTCAGTATTCAGGTATACAGTGCTCAGTAATGCCAAAACACTGAATACAAGTATCACTGAATGTAAACTTAGCATGCTAATTAGCTCCGTTGTGGGCTGGGCTCATTCAGTTCAATGAAACGAGCACAGATTAAGCACAACCGGCGGTATACAACACATCTTCATTAACGCTGTACACTGAACGCAGCACAACTTATCCCATTAAATACATACCTGGTTTTTCACTGACGCTGATTGTGTGTTTTAGAATGCAGTTTGATTTGTCATGTCACCATCAGGAGTGCTAACGACTACAATTTTTTCACTTCCGTCTCATGACATCTACGTCACTGAGAGGCTCTCGCACAGCCGCCGCGCTTTGGTTGTCCTCTAGTGGCGAAAACGGCTCACAGCTGCGGAGTTACAGGGGCCACGTAAGGCGATGACACTTAAGAAGATGACACTAGTCTCTAAGCGACTGGATGAGGCGTAAAGTCAAATAAGACAGAGGATCGGCGTAGTTCAGTTCAATTCAGATTTATTCACAGCAAAAGTCGACTCAAGGCGCTTTACTGTGAGGTAAAAACCTACAGTTTGGGAGAAAACCCCAACAATCGAGCAACCCCCGTGAGCAAGCACTTTGCGACGGTGGGAAGGGAAACACCCTTTGTAACTGGGAGAAACCACCGGCAGAACCATCCCCTTCAACTGGTTGGTGGTGAAGGGAAAGAGAAAGGAGAAAGGAAAGAAGCGATCTTAAAGAGACTGGACAAAACACACTATGAGAGAGAGAATTTTAATGACACTCAGCAGTGGCATATAAACACCTGGGGAGAAAAATAGGTGAGTGGAGAAGAGGTGTTCAGAGTACCACAGGAAGTCCCTAAAGCAGCATAACTAAAGGATAAAGGAAGGAAAGTTTAGAGTCTAATCTTAAAACTAGAGACACTGATTTGATAAGAGTGAATTTCAACAAGTCAGCTAAAATATATTTATAAGAGTCAAAGAAACGTTTTTCTCGCCTTTAATTTTTAATTTAACCATCATTGCCAATGTCCTAAACAAAACAAAATTAAACTTAAAAGAAGCTACATTTATCACAATCGACTTACATAGTAGTGAAACATAGCTAGAATACTCAGGTAAATAGAGGCTATATGCATTTGACTACTTTACTCACTGGAAAACTTTTAAGGTACTTCTACTTAATTGCTTTTTTTTATGTCATTGACCACATTTCCTATCAGAGGGAAATACTATAGTCACCTTAAAAATTAAGATTTTTTCTTCTGGCTCTACCATCCAAATGTCACAGCAGAAATTGAGATTCATCAGACTAGGCAATATTTTTTCAATCTTTCCTTGTTCAGTGTTGGTAAAGCAATGTGAATCAGCTTAACTGTTCTTAGTGCTCTGCCCTAGCATAGTTCAAGGTTTTACATTTTGTACTTAGAGATGCTTTTCTTCATAAATTGGTTGTAATGGGTGCTTATTTATTCATTACTGCTCCCCTCTTATTAGTTTAAAGGTTTCTCTCTTTTTTGAAGATTCTCTGTAACCATAGAAATGGTTGTGAAGGAAGATTCAGTAGATCAGCAGTTTCTGAAATACTTAGACCAGCCTGCCTGTCACCAACAACTATACTACATTCAAAGTCACTACAGTCAGTTTTGTCTCCATTCTGATGCTTGGTTTGAACTTCAGCAGGTCATCAGGTCTACATGTCTAAATACACTTGTTGCTGCTGTGATTGGCTGATATTTGCATTAACGAGCAGTTGAACAGGTTAATGTAATAAAGTGGCCAGTGAGTGAGGACTGTCTTCCTCACTATTTAAAAGCAACTCGAAAAGGCCTCTTAAAAATGTCTCAATATATCATATCAAACTCACTCTCAATAGTGGGTGAGCACATGGTGTGGCAGCATCAGAGTGTCTGAGTGGGTGAATGCAAAACATACTAAAAAGCACTTTGGAGAATGTAGCTAAGGTTGAAAGGTTCGTCATAAATGCAGAGCATTTTATTTGAGGACTAGAAAATTTACATTTTTTAAACTTACCAGAAAATGTCTCTTGATACTGGCTTGCAGAGAGGCTCTTCAGATAGAAAGGTCAATGCAATACCTCTTGCATTATTTATAAGAAACCAACCCTGAATATGACCTTTTCAAAGTGTAATGCCAGAAACAAGCTCTATATACTCAAAGTGTCTCTTTAAAGTTCTTCCAAATTGTACATGACCTGCACTATAAAGAAAACTATGCATGTATTGATTTTTAAGGGAAAAAATTACTGACATCTTAAGATAGTTTCAGGGCCACAGACTTGATGTGTCCTTTTAAGTTAGGACAGACATTCTTCAGAGAGATAGGAACTTGAGTGAAAAATTGATTTGTTATCATAAGGAGAGACTCAGACAGCTTTTCATGTCACACTTAACTGTCAAGATAGTTTTTTTGTGAAATGTGGTGAATTAAAGTATCAGAATAATTTTTTCCCAGAGGAGATTATGTAAAATTGTGTTTTTTAATTATCATTTTGTAAGAAGTATAAAAAGAAATCCATCATAACAAACTGATGGACATAACAACAATCTGTATAGTTTTAAACACAAAAAATAGAAAAAGGAAAATTATAATGCATTCTGGAAGTGAAGTGACGATTTTTATCTTTCCTTTTATAAAGATAAGGGAAGAAAATACACCAAGAGATAGATAGATAGATAGATAGATAGATAGATAGATAGATAGATAGATAGATAGATAGATATTAATCTCAGCTTCTGCTAAATCGAGTGAGAAACTTTTCACATTGTTGTACCTTCTCCTGAAATTACTTTTTCTAGCAAATAAAATAAAAATCCCATAACATGCTAAAATTATCATAAATATAATATTGAGAATTGGCACAGTTTTTCAGTTAATAATAATTAATGAAGACAATTATATTATTTACCTTAACAAGGAATACAGAATTATAAGATTTATTGGAGTCATTTTTCAAATATAAATATTTTATAAAACAGCTACTCTTTAAAATCACTATTAAACTGAATCATGACATCTAACACAACGCATGGAGTTCATAAATAAATAAAAATGAAACATATGCTTGACAAGACAAACGGTATACCTCTCTCTAAATGTTTATTAATACTACTGAGCGATCGTGGCTCAAGAGTTGGCACTTCGTCTTGTAATTGGAAGGTTGCAAGTTCGAGCCTCGGTCGTTGTGTCCTTGGGCAAGACACTTCACCCGTTGCCAACTGGTTGTGGTCAGAGGGCCCGGTGGCGCCAGTGTCCGGCAGCCTCGCCTCTGTCAGTGCGCCCCAGGGCGGCTGTGGCTGTAGCTTGCTATCACCAATGGGTGGATGACTGAACATGTAAAGCGCTATACAAATACAGGCCGTTTACTACGGCTGAATATGATAAGGTAAAAAGCTTTTAACATACATCTCAGATAAACTACTGTTTGTGAGGATTAATAGTATCTTTTGTACCATCTTCACAATGTGACTCCTTGGGAAAAAGAAACAAGAAATTATATAGTGTTTACATGAAGGTCCTTTTATTTATCAGATGTAATACCTGAAATGATTTATTTAACTGAATTGAAATGATTAGGCTCTGATTACCCTGAGTTCTACAATACTCCTACAAAGAGAACTGGCCATCAATAAAGGTGCAGATTTGGCTCTTATAGTGCTGAAATGTGTGCACCATTAAATCTAATAATGCTTAAGCCAACATTTGCACTTGCATAGAACAACTGGCCAGAAGCACTGTGGAGGTGATTTCCAACCTGGACAAAATTTAGCACACTTTGAGCTCCCTCTGCTGTTTCAGGAACTCACTCTAGCATAAGCACATAGGCTTTAAGGCATGTGGACATGGAATTGGCAACTTCTTAACTCTCAGTTCTGTAACGTCATCAAACTTCCCCTAACTTTAAAATGTATTTGGTCTTATGTTGACCCTTTAAATCTAACTCCTAGCCCCCCACAGTGGTAACTTATCCTTTTGTTTTACACAATTTCGAATTCCCTTCTAGATGCAGTAATGTGTAGTCTTTCAAATCTTTTTACACAGGAATTTCAATGTCTCAGTCAAACTCATAGCTGTCAGGTGATAGCCATGCTTTTCCGAAGAAAATCCGTGGATATCAATATGTCCTTATCCAGCTTTCTTGGCTGATTTTTGCATCTATTTTTTCCTCTTTTTCATTTATCTTCTTCTTGACCTGGTTGTGAGTTTGGTCATGTGACAGTGCTAATCAAAGCATATGATTAAAACAATATAAAAATAACGTACAACATAAAAATCAAATATACATTCGTCCAAATTAATTGCATTCTATGTGCTCAAATGTTGCGCACGCTGGACGTATTTCGCCTCTTTGTTGTGACGAGAGTTTGGGGTCATTAATCAAACAAAAGTAATCCAATACATTACTGAATTACTCCCAGGAGAAAGTAATTTGTTTAACATTACTGTTACGTTTCTCTGTAAAATGACCTGAAACACATTCTCTCATGATTACAAGGTAACAATATAAACCTATAGGCTACAGTAATTCGCACCAACAAATATCCCTACAGCCTGAATGCACATCACTACTTTTACCTGTTGAACTCCTGAGGTCTGGCTGCTGGGCTTGGGTCGGCATTGAACTAATAGGAGAGAACCAGCTCTCCAGTCCCATCCCTAATAATTATCCCACTCTGACCTACAGCATAGCATTACTATACAAGTGATAGAGCCAGTTTACCAAAATAATTATCTCTTCACTCTACACCCACCCACAGCCTCACTTCAACTGACATTTTTCAGTTAGTAACCCCTGATTTGTTATTCTTGCATCTTAATACTCACTCAGTGACTTGTATTTCATGCGTCTCACACATTCCTTGATGTCATTTTGCAGCTCAGGGAGGGTTTCCTTGAACCCCATCATCAACTCCAGCTCTCTCCTCCTGTTTCGGCTGCTTCCTCTTGAACTTCTCCTCATTTCTCAGGTGGATGTCGTCTCTGAATGTCAGGTCCAAAGGAATGACTAGCACAGTTACACGAACTCCTACTGGGCTCAGTGAAAAATTTCTTTGTCTATCTCAACAATCATTGTGACTCGTCGGCCCGAATCCTCCCCCTCTTGCATTTGACATTGTTCATTCTGACTAGATGCAAAGACTTCTTTTTGCAGGAGAGTATTTCCTGTTGCACTCTTTCCAACAGTCTTCTGACCAAGCAGTATTATTCTCAGTTCCTGCAGCTTATTACTGGAAACTGAGAAGAAGACAGCTGTCAGAGCAAAGTGAAATGGGAAAATGTCATGTTGCATATGAT